AAGATTGCTTTTAACGAGCTGCAAGCCAAAAGAAATGCAAGGTGATTTCTAATTGTGGTTACTAAGATGGAGGACTTCACAAATGTTGAAGGACATGCTATTCTCTAAATGAAATTGAGATACTATTTGTTGTAATCTTCTAGCCAGAACTTAAATAAGTAAATCCGGTTTAAGGTATACAATATATGTATTAAGCAGGAAAATAAACTGTAACAGGAAGAGATTATTAATAGGCAATTTGAAAATCCTCTGTTCCTTTTAAACTCACTTCAATCGCATTTGAACAGACTACCACTTTTAAGTTTACATCAACTTAACAAAGTTAATTTTAATCTAGAAATTTGTGTGCCCATTTAAGCATAGCTATACACAGGTCAGTTTTACTAGAAATATCATCTTAATGAAAACAAGTACCACCATATGCCAAACTGATCCACAGGACTGAGACAATGATTCCCATTACATATCTGCTTAAGATGTATACATCTCATTTTATGAAGATACTTACATATATATGTAGTCAGGTGGTTATATGTAGTTTTGAGTGTCTTGAAACGAAATCCTTCCAAATAGTGAAATCCAGAACAACAACAAAAACCAAAGGACAAAGTTGCTCATTACTGAATTATTTTGGATCCCACAGATGGTATGATTTCAGCACTGCCAAATGCACTTAAACATAGGAACAAAGCATCATCTATCTTGAAGCAGCAAGGGTATTCACTCACATTTGTAACAGTGGTGTTCCTAGAGAAGTAGCTCAAGCAGTCCATTTTGTAGTCCTTAATAACAACCTAAACATGGCCAGCAATAAGATTACATCCATCAATACCTGGAACTGCTAGTAGTAAAATAAATTACAATGATGCCAGAGTATGTTGTAGTCTTATGAGCAGAAATCCTCGAAGGAAAACCGAGGGCTACGCGAGTATTCCGAGTCACACTGCTGTGCACTGAGGAAGTATTTCTCCATGATAGACCAACTGTGGCACTGACCAGAGTGACTGGTGTTTCACTAAGAAGCACATGGGTAGCTGCTCCATCAAGGAGCACTCACAGTAAGGCAGTGGCCAGAAGCTTAGCTTATCAAGAGTCTGAACTTTCTCTGTCAATAGTGGGTGACCACTGAAGTCTTCCTTGACTGGGCACACCTTGGAAGATTAATATGACAGTTCCCTGAAGAGTGGATTAGGGTCTGTGTGGATGAGAGTCACAATATGTATTCACGTTCAGACAAAGTTTACCTGGGTTTAACTATGTAACAATTCCAGCAAACTTAAGTATCAAATTTCTCCCCATTGATTCTTCTTCAATCATGGCTTTAGAAAAGCTGTTGTTGTCAAAGTCCCCAGTGACTACCACACCGACCTTAGGCGCATTTGATTCATCAGTAGCATTCATCAATTCCTCCTCCTTGAAACTCTTCTTTTCCAGGTCCTCATGATCTCCTGGTTTTCCTATTATATCTTCAGTTTGTTCTTTGGTTCACTTCTCCAGGTTCTTATGCCAACCTCTTCTCTAGCAGTATTCATTCTCCTGGTGAGACTCAAATACACTGCTTATAAATGCCATCTACACACAAATGTATATCCTTATCTAAAATGAATTCCTACATTCCAGATTGTATACTCCTGGTCCTGAACCCTCCACTTCAAATGTGTAATATGCATTTCCAAGACCTCAATGGTCAAAACAAAGCTCTTAATCCTCTACTTCCATTCTACCTCCAAGTTTTATCATCGTATTACAACTCTGTCCTAGTTTTCTCAGACCCTACTCCAGGATCACAAACTATCACCAAATCTAGTCAGCTCCACCCTGAACCAAATGATTTATTATCTACATTACTGCCACAACGGCTGAAGTCACCAATCTCTTAAGTGGATTACTCAGTCTCTTAAGTGATCTCTGTTCTCATTTTATTTATCTTCCCCCTTACTCTTACACTCATCTTTTTCATAACAGTAATCAGATTCTAGAACAACCTGTTATCTTTCTACAAAACAAATCCTCCAGTGGCTTTCTTTCATACTTTAGAATATTAGCCAGATATTGAGGTTGCATGATCTGTCTCTATGGCTATCTTGATCTAGCCTCTCTAGATCCTTGCCTAGGGGCTCACCCCAATCCCCTTGTTTCCAGATACAAGGTGACAATGTAGCACAAGCTGTCCTTTAACTCACTACCTTTTCCCCTTAGTCTTCCTAATGCCATATTTAGAGGTGGGCACTCTCATGCCAACCTTCTCCTTGAATGCACTGTGCTCACTCTTCCCTCTACCAGGTCTACTCTTCCCCCATAAAGCTAACCTATCACACCATGTTCATTCCACCACTCATCTTTCTTGTATTTTTTCCTGAGTATCCTGCTTCTGAATCAACAACAAAAGCCCTCTCCTCCTCCCAGCACCTGCTCCCCATTTTTCTTTTTGCTTTAGAACTTACCATCTTACACACACTGTTTTCTGGCCTGTCTCCCGACACTCAAAGGAAAACTCTTTCAAAGCAGAGATTTTCATGAGCTCTATTCACTGCCAAACTTAAAACACCTAAGTCAGAGTGAAATGAACTTCTAGAGTTCATGGAGAAATGATATAAGCACAAATAGAATGTGCTATATTTATATTTAAATGTACTATTTTTAAAATGTAAGGAAAAGATACTGTTTCACCATCTTCATTTGGGATTTCCTGTGGCCAGGGAAAACTGTTTCAAGAAAATAAAGATAAGGGGAGCCAGTAGGTACCTCTACCACCATGTCCCTCACTGAAGTCCTCTGTGCTGCTCAGTTCCTTTCTTTCATCACTGTTTTTCTATGAAAACTTAGAACCTGGTACAAATCCTCCAATCTCAATCATAGAGAACTGGGAACTTGGCTTATGCATTCAAGCCTCAGTTGTGGGGACTTAAAGTGTCGGAGACTGCTTGGCAGTCCATTTCTGTGGAGCTTTATGTCTTCCCTTTTTGAAGACTCGAGATCAGCCAACAGACCAAGTTGCTCACTAACTTAAATACTCACGAATGAGATAAATCAGAGCTGTAGAAATGATGTGCCCTATTGGCACAAGGGTAATAGTAGACAGATTCTTGTTTGTCTGTTGTATTTATCTTTCTCTTAAGTGACAAAGCGGTGGGTGAGGATAAGGGATACTTTAATAAATGACTTTTAATAGTGTATAATAAAGTATTTCTCTTAAAAGAATTTCCTCCAAGAACATCACTTATTTTGTTATTTTTCTAAAACAGTACTCTTAAGATAGTCAAATGTTGCTCTTCGACAGTACAATCTATGTTCTGAGAAATGTTACCCACTTTCACTGTTGTATAAATATCACAGTGTACTACAGCCAGCTTAAGGCAGCTATGCTAGGTAATATAAACTTAAAGAATCATCACTGTCTATGTTGTTCACTGAACAAAATGGTCATCAAAAGGCACACAATTATACATATAATAATTTCTTGTGCTACTCATCTTTTTAACCAATAAAAGATACAAGAAATATATTAAGATTCCAATTAAGCTGGGTGTTGTGGACACACTTGTAATACTCAGCAATTGGGAAGTTGAGAAAGAAGGATTTTGAGTTTGACTCCTGCTTAGGCTACAAAGCAAATTTGAGGTCTGCCTGGGCAAGCACAAAAAATGCCAAGAACCAGTGGCTCACGCCTGTAATCCTAGCTACTGAGGAGGCTGAGATCTGAAGATCACAGTTCAGTCAAACTGGGCAGGAAAATTGGTAAGACTCCAATTAACTACCAGAAAACCAGAAGTGGCACTATGGCTCAAGTGGTAGAACACTAGCTGAAGAGCTGGCCCACTGTTCAAGCCCGACGATCGGGGTGGGGGACCCACAAAAGCTTTGTACTCTTGTCACACTGACTTAAAATTGCAGATTATTTGTTTCTGCTTAAAACAGTCAAAAGCTCAAAAGTTTTCAAATCTTTTAACCTCGTACAATTTAGTGTTCCTTTGTAATGGAAGTCTTAGGTTTGTATTGAGTGAAAAGTGGATATCAGCTCAATTTTATTTTCACTCTAAGATTTTAATGACAAATACCCACTACTTTAATGACAGTAAAGGCAATATATGATTCAGTTACCTTGAAGCAAAGTTTTCATGTATTATACATAGTTAAGCTAGTCTTCTATTACTTTATTTAGAACTGGAGAAGATATATGCTCCTACCTAGGTATATACATATATACACACACACATATACATATATGTATATATATGTATGCTTCTACATAAGATATATAAACCTACAAGCTTGACTATAAAACCAAAGATAATTATCTCAGTTAATGGAAAAATGACATAATGATACTGTTTCCAAACTCCTATAGAATCTTAACATATTCGATAATAACAATTACAATGAAACAATTTAACATATAAAAACAGTACAATTCTTATTTTCATTTGAGAAATAATATCACATATGCACAGTAATACAACACTCTACCTGAAGGGCTGACAAAGATTTTGTGATCAACTCTGCCTTTGGTGATATTGGCTGGTCATGTGTTATGATGAAGAATTGGAATGTACCACAAAAATTCAAGATCAGGATTAAGAGGGGGAAAAAAAAGCACCATAGAGTAATCTACCAGATCAAAGTTAGTATTTGTCAATACTGCCCAATGCTAAAAAGAACTCACCAATTTGGAAGTAAAATGTTCTTTAAGACATTTTCAGACTCCTGAATGAGACAGGATTTTTATTTTCTTTTTAGCATTACCAAGGCAAAACTTTATGGCTTTTTGAGACCAATGGTTTAAAATAGTTTGCATATTGAAACCCATTGTATTCTCCCACTTAGATTTAAAGGAAAAAAACTACACATTTAACAAGATTTTTCAATGTTTTCAATTTAATAATTCTTTCATTTGTACTAGTCCTCAGTAGTAGTCTTCATATCCACAACTTTATTTCATCAACAATCATCTCAGATACACCTTCTGACAAGACTCTGCTTGAAACATTACGACAGGAAACTATGCCTTCAGGAGCATGTTTATTGTGTTTGAGATGATACACCAGTGCTCTCTGAGCTACAAAGGGTAAAAGGAAATCCTCTCATTACAAACTGACAAAGGTAAAAGGTAAAACATTTTCACAACAGCATGAACCACATACTTGAGAAATAGATCTGGGCTTAATACAAATGACATAATTCCTAGTCATCTACATCTACTTTTATAACTTCATACAGATAATGAATTAGGCTAAAATGCACTATAATATTTGGTAGACTTCAGGACCAGTATCCTTAGTACATCACAAAATACATTTTGATATCCCAAAGAAGCAAGACTTGCAAGTAGGCATTTTAAACATAACTAATCTACAGCTACAAAGTTCTACTCTTGATAGCATTTACCTTTTTAGGGAGTCTCCCAGTCTCCAAAGGATAAAAGCAGAGAGTAGAATCAGTATAACATATACACAGAAGTCCGTATTGTAAAGGCTATAAAGATTTGCAGCACAGTGAGAAGATGCCTTCTGCTCCTTCACACTGCATACAAATTAGTAAATTATGTTGCATATCTCTTGGTCCACTGTCTGGCTATCCTGTCATGTTCTGCTCTGTTGGTCAAATACTGAGTGGCTATACTTCCAACCAGAGGATCCGCTGGAAAATTGAAAACAACATTAAGAGATTTGTGGTGTCTTAAACATACAGCTAGTTCTAACACACTATTAAATTAAGACACTTATAATTCATAGCATTTACAACCATTTGTATATTTTAATATTCAATTTAGGAAAAGTTCCTTCACTAAATAATACTAAATTAAGTAAAACAAATAAACTCAATATTAAGTTTTGTCTTTAACACACAAAAATTTTTCTGAAATCTGGCCATTTTATTCAGACAAGTATCAAAACAAAAAAATTAAGCTTTAAAATAGAAATTGAGATTAAAAGTTTTACTTTGAATTTATTTTAGAATTGGAAATGCTCTAAGTAATAGTGGAAGTTTAAAAGCAAAACAAAACAAAACAAAACCCACAGCTCTCTTCTTTCCTAAACCAAACCAGCTATTCAAATTTTCTATCCATGGCAAACAATTGTTACTCCTTCACAGCATTTCTTTCCAGGAATTTATATCCATTTATAAGCATTGAAATATCCAGTGAGAACATATATTTCACAGTTCCTTGCTTTCTACCTAGTGGAATGAGCTGCCTCACTTTTTTTAATAGCTGTATCCGTCAGTAATGGAGACTCAGGTGATTTCTGATCTTCTGTTTTGATAATATATTTATCTATGTTTATCTATTCCATACACTTAACTGCTAAGCCTAAGTAATAGTAATATCTTTAGTGACTTTAAAAGTTTTACAGTAAAGTTGAATTCTTTAAAAATGACCACATAGAAAAGTAACAAATCTGAAGCTCCAAATCTACACAAGACTTTTATCAAGTCTACTATCCATATTAAACTTGGAATATGGCGGGAAGGTATTTATGAAAGTTATGAATTATACACTAATGACTGAGTTTACATAATCATAATTTAAAGCAACCCTTTCATCAATCCATCATTTGAAATCCACTGTTACTACATCTAATGGAACTTGCAAAAAGGGAAAACTACTTTGTAGCTGCCATAAAGCACATGGCAGCATGAAAGGAGAGAGATGCTCCACAATTTACAAAGTTTGATGAGGAAGAATGATGGAAGAGGTGACACTGATCAGGATGCACTGAACTCATAAACGGATATGTTGAATTGAAACTCCTTTGTATAACTACTTAAAGAGATACACACAAAAAAACAATAAAAATAAAAAAAACACTGATTCTGAATCATAACGGGGTATACCACTAACAAATGAAGTTAATTAATTCAATTAAACATGGTTTAATTGAAATGGTATTGCTAAATAACTGACAAAACGTTTTTTCTGAGTTAGGTCCCCCCTCTATACCAACCCCTCCCCCACAAACCCAGGCTGACTTGGAATTTGCTATGTGATCCAGCCTGGTCTTTAACTTCTGATCCTGCTGGGATTATAAATTTGATTTTCCTATCAATAACATTTCTCAATTAATAGTTAAGCTAATGAAGAAATTTACTGGTGTGTAGCCTATTGTATATGCTTATAAAGATGTGCTTACCGGGGTTGCAATCTGTCAAAAGAGAACAAATAGACAGCAAAACCTTTGAAATAGTCAAAGCAGGACTCCAGTTGTCTTTAAGGATGTCCAGGCAGATGACTCCCTGACTGTTGATGTTGCAGTGGTAGATTCTGGTACGGAAAGTAACCTAAGTACAGTCACAGTAAAAAAGAAATAAAATGAGTCATTTTTTTTAGCAACAACAACTCTCAGCAACCTATCATGATGGCTGATACTAAACAATAATTTACCTAGAGTTTTAAATTTGGGTAAGCTTAATAAGAAAGTTAAAGAGCTTTATGTGATTTAACTGAAAATTTTTTTTTCACATGGCCTAAGAATAATTACATTGGTTTTGAATAATACAGTAATTCTATGCATATAGGTATGTATGGGTATACACAGACCTTTTATACTGATGTATACACAGATACAGACAGAAAGAGAGAAAAAAAATGATTTGATATCAAATGTTAAGAGGAAAGGATAACTTTTCCTTATAAGAAAATTATATTAGTTTCTCAATACAAAGAATTAGTATCAACTCAGTTTCTTGCTGTATCAGAAAACAGAGGAGGTGCACTGCCTGCTTTTCAACTTCTCAGTTGTTTATTTCCACAGTTGGTTCAATGCCTTGCTAGACTAAAACAATAAAATGAAACATGCAAGGTTTTTCTGGCTGCTGGATAAAGAAAACTAGCCTATCTCTACATGTGTGAGAAAAGAAGCAACAAGCATGTGAGCTTCTAAACTACCACAAGCAACAAAATAATTGGGTAGTTAATTCACAATCTGGAATTGCAATGAAAAAAAATTCCTTATCTCTTAGAATCAGCAACTGTATTACAAGTAGAATCTAGAAAGAAAATAATACACAGAGTGTCTTTCTAAAAATGATAGGTGAAGACAAAAAAAGGAGATAAAAAGGGAGGAGGAACAGGTAGAAGAAGGAAATGAGGAAGAGAGGGAAAGAGAGTGAAGGAAAGAAGGGAAAAGGAAAGGGAAAGGGAAGGGGAAAGGGAAAGGGAAAGTTAGAAACAGAACACACATACTCTCTTACCAATCACTGGTTAGTTAAAATATAACTAAGCTGTGAATGAGAGATCTTAGTTATATCTATTCAAATTAAGATGATATAAAAGTGTAAACCTGATTTCAAAGTCTTGTCATCAAAATTAAAATATAAATAAATCTCAGTAATATTCTTACACTGATTACGTGTTAAAATGCAATGTTTTGGATATACTTGTTTAATTTCACATCTTTTTAAATGTAGCTACTGGGAAATTTTGAATTAAACTTTGCACCATGTTTGTAATAGCATATATAGAATATAGGAGCATTTTATACTTAGATCAACTCAACAGGTATAGAAAGTCTATAGATATAATATTCTAAGTTATTTCAGCTATTAAACAAATGAACAGAATAATATCCACAAACAAATGTTTAAAAAAGTATTCTTAAAGTTCAATACTTGGTGAACCTCAAAAAATTATATATATATATATATATATATATATATATATATATAAAGCAGGTTCATGCCTGTAATCCTAGCTACCCAGGAGGCTGAGATCTGAGGATCCAGATCAATGGTCTAAAGCCAATCTGGATAGGAAAGTGTTAGACTCTTATCGCCAATTCACTATGAAAAAGAAGTGGAGGTGTGGCTCACAAGATAGAGAGATAATAATATACTAGAGAGGCAATTTTTCTTAAAACAAAGATAATACCACAAATCTTATTTTGTTTCATTTATTCAACTATAGATATTGAAGCATGCTTAATATTAACATATTTCAGCAAGAGAAGAGAACCAACATTAACAAAACAGAAAATTAAAATTTTGCAATTTACAAATAACCATTATGGTAATCAGCATGATTTTGGAAAGTCATATATGTAAGTATATGTAAGTCATATATGTAAGTATAATTTGAAATCTCTATGTTAATTTCCATTTTGTGTTAAAAGGTGCTACAAAATAAGCATCTCTGAAATTAATGTCCCACATTAAAAATAATTCTATATAAAATATATCTTGCTAACTTTCCCTCCAAATGTTAACAAATTTCTAATACAAAAAACTAGGTATTGTGTAGATATATCACTATTTATAAATATAGTCAAGAAGCTTGCTAAGGATTTTTGCTGTATTAGAAAACTGAGCAATGGGGCTGGGAAGGTGGCTCAGTGGTAGAGTGCTTGCACGAGGCCCTGGGTTCAATTCCTCAGCACCACATAAGCAGAAAAAAGTCAGAAGTGGCGCAGTGGCTCAAGTGATAGAGCACTAGCCTTGAGCTGAAACACTGAGAGACAGAGCCCAGGCCCAGAGTTGAGGCCCCATGAACGGCAAAAAAGGAAAAAGAAAAAGAAAACTGAGTAGTTAGTAAATATTGACACATATGTGTCACTCTAAATGGTATTGTTAAAATGAAGGGATGCCCTTTTATTTATTTAAGCAAGATAGACTCAATAGAGCTAAGAGCATTAAGGAAGTAATTTCAAGATTAACAATGTAATAGAAAAATAAAACACTCAAAAACCTGTAAGCCTGAATTGGACGGAAATATCTCCTGGTGATAAGGAATTTTGGTATCTGCAGTTCGAGGTAAATATCACTAGGTGGAACTATTGTTCACTTGTTAGATAATGCCAACATGAGAAATCTATATTCTTTAGGAAAATCTGACTTATAACCCCCTTTCCCCCATGTAAAGTCACAATATAAATGATACTATATAGGGACATATGGAACCAGATGTAAAGAAATATATTTCGGCATAGTTGACAACCACAGATTTAACAATAGTCTTTTCTGCCATGATAGTGTGTCTATAATAAGGGCAATTAATTATGGTCAGGTCAGGTTTAGTTCTAGGATTACTTAACTGCTAGCTTTAGAATTTCAGGGAAAAAAATCCAGCAAAGAAGCCATTTTAATAATTGTATTTAAAATCTTGAAAAAAAATTAACACTCATTACAAGGCACAACTCAGCCCTTCTCTGTTACAAATGGCTACTGAGAAGGCAGAATGTATCCTGTCACTCTTAGTTTCCACTTCTTCATAGCCACAGAAGCCACACCAAGTTTACTAAAACATCATTCATTTTTACTTGTTTTCTCATTTTTGCTTTTCTATGTTGAGAAAGACCAAATACATATTATTAATTGACTGCTTCTGGAAGCTGTCAAACAGGTTTTCTTTTTATTCTAATATATTATTTAAGAAAGGTTCACAGGACATTTTGCATTCTAAATCTGAAATTTTAAGGATGAATTTTTTTTTTAGTTACAATGAACTATTAACCCCTCTGTTGAATGTGAGTTATTGTAAAAGGCAGAAATCAATTACCTTCTGGATCAAAATCCTTGGTTCAGAGTTCATGAATTCATGAAGAACAAGGAAATAATACAAATTTAAGATCTAGAATATCTGATTTGAGAGAAGGAAAAATATTAACAAATGCACTTCTAGTTTCTTACCTTTGGTGGCTTAAATGGATAATCGGATGAAAATGTGATATCCAGAAAAAACACACCACCTTCATACACAGAGCCTGGTGGGCCAAGTATAGTTGATCTCCATTCATAAATGTTATCTCCTTTAGGCCCAGCACTATTTAGAAGAAAATAAAAATAAGTATATATGTCTGCAGGCACTGAACGTTAATCCTTAGAAAACAATGAAGTGTTATTAAATCAGCAAGCTAAGACGACAAGGGAGAGCATGTAAGTCCTAATGTGTTCATACATGCATATATAAATGTGGAAATACCTCAAATGTACAACCTATGTAAATTCACCCAGAATTTTCATTTCTTTTTTTTTAATTGTGAAAATACTGTAAAGAGGGTTTACAATTACATGGGCAAGGTAATGAGTACATTTCTTATCAAGCATTGTAGCCTCCTCCTTTGCTTCCCCTTCCCATCCAAAGTTGTAAAGTTTGTTTTCGACCTAACGACTTATACATCTCATTTTTACAATGGGTTCACCTGTATCCCTATTTAAATGATTTGTTTTTTCCCTTCCCCTCCACAAATTATACTGATATCAAATACAGTGAAAGCAGGGGTTATACCGTGTTCACCCAGAATTTTCTACTAGCATTCGACCTCATTTTCTACACACACACACACACACACACACACTGATGATGCATACACCATAAGAACTAAACACATTTTCGTCCTTTCTACTTCAGTGTTAATTTTCATATTTTACACAACTTAACAGTTACAATTCCAGTAGTTTTTGTAAACATAATACTTTCAATCTGCAACTTGCCTAACAAAGTTGTAAACTAGTGCAGAAACATACTCATAAAAATATTTTTCTCCCACTACAAAAAATACTTCTTGGGATTAAGTATGTCCTGTGTCTTTTCTCTCTTCTTTCCTTCCCCCGTTCCTCTCACTCATCCCTCTAATCCCCTTCTCCCTTCACTCTCTAAGACCAGAGAGTTTCACTCTGTAAACCAGGTTGGTCTCAAACTTTTCAACCCTGCTTTGACGTCTGCAATATGTAAGATTTGAGGTACGTGCTTCCATGCCCTCTAACATCGTGTCTTTAATTCTACTTTAACACCGGTCCTCTCAGCTTTCAACAGTTGTAACATTTTAACAGAATGTTAAAAAAGGATGGGTTCTACTTTGAGCTTGTCTTGAGTTTGTATATGATTAAATTCAAGGAATCAATTCCTGGCTATCCCAGTAAGTAAGAGATAAATCCTCTTCAGGATATCACATCTGGAGGTACATGTTCCCATGATGTTAAATTTCATCACCCAGACAAGGTATTGCCAGTTTTTCTGATGTGCAGTTACTATCCACCCTTCCCACTCCCCTCCCACCCCCACTCCCCAGAAAACCACTAAGTTAACCCTTGGGAATATACTTCAAGATCATGCAAATATCCTGCTCCTCCTCATCAAAATTTCCCCTCCCCAGATTTAACCTCAATTTGTGATTCTTTGAATTGAACTGCAATGACAACTTTGTCAGGATTTTCAAGTCCAGTACTTCCTCCACACCTAAGCCCCTTGGGTCCTCTGCCTCCATTTGAATTTATGTATGTCTAGTATTATTGGCATGGTCTCGCAAATTCCTCCCCCCCCCAATGCTTTATACTTCACCATTGCATTTAATTATTTGATGTTCCAATTATGTCATATTTGTTTAGTCACTGTAGGTATCTCTGCCAATAAGCTTATACATCCTGTAAGAATTTTTAAACATTTCCTTCCTTTCTGCCCTACAAGATGCTCTGTGCAACAGGCCTTGGAATTAGCTTCAAGAAGGTCTGTGTCCTTTTAGATGAATGTTGTCAGAAACTAAGATCTAAGTGTTAGTTGCTACAAAGTCATAGTTAAAATAATTGTAATGTAACTGAAGTCGTAATGTGCCCAATATCACAGTTTGACTTATAAATTACATATTAAAGTATTCAATAAAATCTAAACTTACATAATTGTAAGCAACCTTCCTACCCTTGACATTCTCTTCGAACATATGTTTACAGACTTCTATTTTATTCTAATTTTTCTATCATCAATTATCGTGGCTTTCTGAATGTATGGGTGTATAGGGCTGGTAGATTTTCCTTTTTCTATTTTTTAAAGTGTCTATGAGCTTAGTAATGATATACAGATAATGGTATCTGATTAAACCAACCTAATTAAATAATGGAACATTAGTTAATATAACTTATGTACACAGTATTAATTTTGTAAGACATACTCTTAAGTTCAGGTAAATGATATTATCCATTATCAAATGTATGTTCTAAAGAACTAAAGCATGACTCAGAGTGTTAAAAAAAACTTAGTAATACAATAAAAGCAGTTAGATTGTGTTGATCTACCTTAAAGGCACACAGATACATGAACATGTACACACACATCTTACTCTTTTGGCCTATTTAGGAAAAATATTTTTAAATGAATAATGAAGTTTTAAATTTATACAGCAACTGGAACTAATTATTATAATAGCTCCTTATGTTTATTATTTAAGAATCTTGTATATTCTGTGAGTGAAATTCACTGTAACACAAAGAAAATAAGTATTAAGTTTTATAAAAACAAAGTTCAACCTGATTTAAAGGCATTCCTTACCCATGTTTTCACTTGACCAAAGTAATGACAAAATTATAATATCAAGTTTTTATAGTTATAGTTGCTCTTATAAAATGTTTCTAAGCTGAGCCAGGCGCCAGTGGCTCATGGTTGTAATCATAGCTACTTGAGAAGCTGAGATCTGAGGGTCACCAATTCTAGCTAGCCAGGGCAAGAAGTTCCATGAGACTCTTATCTCCAATGAATTACCAAAGAGCTGCAAGTGGAGCTTGTAGCTTGAGCAGAAAAGCACTAAGCCATGAGCAAAAAGCTCAGGGACTAGGCATTGAGTTCAAGCTCCAGGTCTGGGGTACGCGTGCTCGCGTGAGCGCGCGCGCGCACACACACACACACACACACACACACTGTTTCTAAACTATACACTCTATATACCAGTAATCCTAATGATAATAACAATAAAAGCTATTGTCTTTGGAATAGTTATCATAAGTCAATTACTGTTTAAATTACCATAGTGTTCAATACACTTAATTCTCCTAAGACACAACTGAAGTGGTTAATAATGTTATCTTTCCATTTTTAGATGAGGAAACTAAGGCACAGAATTTAACAACTTTCCTTATGTTCCAGAATTACAAAATGAGAAAAGAAGTTAAACAAAGAATGTTATTTTGTTCAAAAGTGGAGCTTCTCTACATATTCATCAGGATTTTTTACCTGAATTTCCTCTTTGAGTTTTCCAAACTCCAATTTTTTTTTAAATACTTACTTGTGGCCCACAGGGAATTCTTCTCCAAAGAAACTAAATCCTTGACTTACCTACCATTCAATCACCTGAAGCATCTAAGAATCAAATAAACCTCAGCAGGGTGCCAAAGGCTCTAGCTGAGACATATTATGTTTCAAGGTATACCCCAAGAGAAATTTCTTGACACTCCTCAAAATAACCAGCAAAAAAACCAGGCTGCTTAAGTGGCTTAAGTGGCTAGCCAAGCAATCAAACTGAGCAAATCAAAGGCCCTGAATTCAAACCCAAGTACTAAGGAAGAAAAAAGAAAGAAAGAAAAGAAAATCTCTGGGCTGGGAAGGTAGCTCAGTGGTAGAGGGCTTGCCTTGCATGCATGCATGAGGCCCTGGGTTCGATTCCTCAGCACCACATAAGCAAAAAGAAAAAAAGCCGGAAGTGGCGCTGTGGCTGTGGTAGCGTGCTAGCCTTGAGCTGAAGAGCTGAGGGACAGCGTCCAGGCCCCGTGTTCAGGTCCCAGGACCGGACCCAAAAAAAAGAAAAAAAAAAAAAGAAAATCTCTGAGCTCAAGTTGGGGAATCACAGGATTTTAGGGAATTACATTACTGAAGGATGATGTTGAGACCAAAGTTCTACCGTTACACTTGAAGATACCAAGACATGGAGTAAAGGATTCATCTTAAATTCCCTCTGTCAGTTGGTGGGAAGAGTTGAATTTCCATGCCAAATTCTTAGTCCTTAAATTTGTTTTCTTCAAGTGAGGCTACTTATCACAGGAAAAAAAAATTATATTACAGCAAGATATATGCAATTGTTCTGTTCCCTTAGGGTAGTCAGCAGGCTGAGGCTATGCTAATGATTACTTTATGGTATTCAAAGATATGAATTTATGGGAGTGGGAGCTACAATCCTATTCTATAGTACTGGCTGCTTTCTATGGAGTAAGGAATAGTCACTTTTTATCCTCAGGAAACTACCCTCTGCTGGTCAAGGCATGGACAGGGTGGGAAGTGGGTAGAAGTGATAACAGGAAAAGGGAAGTTTCAGGACTGACTTCACTAATTCAAAGGAAACATTTTATTAGGCCAGCAATTTATCTGCCACTGAGATCTCAGTTGAGCAGAAAGTGGGTAATAAATGCTATCAGCTTCATGCTGATAGTTTCATGAAAGGTTCTATTTGTGATTTACTATCATACCTTTTCTCTCTTTTCTTTCTTCCTCCTCCCCTACTTGCTTACCCTTCCCCTTTCAAAGACACACACAGTCACACATTCTGGCAGAACTCTAATTCTCCACTTGGATTCTGATCCCTCTTTTGGATTGTAACCACAAGAATTCAAGGACAATAGTTCTCCAAACAAACATCTCCAGCTGCAGAGTGGGGAACAACTCAAGTGGTAGAGCACCAGCCTAGTTAAGTCCAAGTCAAACTCCAGTACTGTAAAGAAAAAAAAAAAAAATCAAAACCCTCTACCTTCCATACCCTCTACCTTTTATACCCAGCTCAAGTTATCATTGCTTTCACATTATGATTTATCACAAAACTCCTTAAAAGCATATCTCTGCATTTCCACTTTCTTTTTCAATTCCTCCTCCTCCTGTTTTTCCATTCCAAACTGACTTTCCCAAATCTCCATTGAAATAGCTCTTACCTCAAGGTCACTAATGATCTCATAACTAGATCAAATAATCATTTCTTGGTCCTAATCATTTTACTAAATTTTAAAGCACTAGGTCTATTGAAAATGAAAATAAAGTCAAAGAATTAAATAGATATTTCACAGGTCTATGGG